TTCAGAGGCTTTAGTGAGAGTGGGAAGGTTTCCGTCCCTCCTGACGCCGTGCGGGGTTTGCAGGACCTTGGCTTGTCCCAATAGGATACTTTCCCCAGGATCCAGTGGTTCCCTTGAGTCATTGCACAGATACAGCTGCTGCTTCTGTAATCTTAGCGTCATTTTTTGGTGAGTGACTCTTTCCTAGAGTCCTTCTCCCTTGGGAAGAGAGCTACAGTCCCTTGAATTAATTTGTTTTTCAGTGATTGTTTCAGGGTGCCGAGGCATTGGTGCCACAGGGTAGTAGGCTAAGCCTATGCCTGTGGTGCTGGCATTCCATATGGGCACCAATTCATGTCTTGGCTGCTTCATTTCCTATCCAGCTCCCTGCTATAGCCCAGGGGAAGCAATGGAGGATGGCCCAAGGCCTTGGGATCCTGCACCCATGTAAGAAACCTGGAAGAAGCTCCTGGCCCCTGGCTTCAGGCCTATCCAGCTTCAGCCATTGTGGCCATTACAGAGTGAAGTCAATGGAAAGATCTGTCTCTGTCTCAAATCCTTCATCCTTCTCTTTGTAAACTTTGCTATTCTAATAAAAATAAATAGTTTTTTTTTTTAATAATGATTACATAGTTGATCAGGGTAGGAAAGACCGAGGTTTAGGGAAAATTGGGTGAACTCATTGTTTCCAAATTTGCTATTTCTTCTTATTGTTCCTGGGAGAAGGGGAGCAACAAAGGGGAACACCATTCATGACTTTCCACACATCCCAGGACCCAGGGATGAGGAACTGCCACCTCATATCAACCCAGAGTTTCAATGTGTGCATATTCCGAAAGTGCTGTCCAAGTGGTTTGGATAGTTTTGAAATGCTGCCAATTTCACCAATCCGAGGATGATGTCACCCTTCCAATGTCCATTGGCTCCAGTCACTGAGATTGTTTGCTGTCATCATTTGTTTGGGGGAGTTGTCTAGTTAGTTCTGTTCTTCTGCTACAGCACCAAATGAGCTGCCATATTCTCCTTTTACAACAGGGTCTGTGTCCTCTGCTCCACCTTTTCCATTAAGTAGGGCATGTTCTTGCAGTCAAGTCCAAGCACCTGGGTCAGGTGTCCCAAGCATTGCTGGATCTCCCACCCTTGGAGTTCAGGACCCGACATCCACCTAGTAGGTGGGCAACGCGGCCCGGGACAAGGAGACACAGCCCTACCAGATCACCCATCCCCAGGGTTCACAAAACCAACACTCACTTAGAAGGTGGGCTTAGTGACCCAAACCCCACCAGTTCTTCCATCCCTGGGGCTCAGGAATTCAGCCCCTATCACTCAGGTGCGCCCCATGACCTGAACCAAGCTACCCGAGCCCTGTCAGATCCCTGTCCCTGGGACTCACATACCCGGCCCCTACTGGGAGCAGGCTGGCATGACTCACCTGACCTCAGCATCTGCAGTCTTATTGTACAGCCTGGCCTAGCCTAGTCTGCCCCCTATTCCATCTCCTGCTGGTGGGTGCTGCAGTCTGTCCCAGCCCAGCCTGATTGTTGTCCTGGTCCTAATGTGGATTGGCTGGTGTTGCAGCCTGACCTGGCTCCTTTTGCCCTCTGCCCTGGTTCTCAAATCTGCCACTGGGTGTTATGTGCTGGCCCAGACTGGTCTGTTCCCAGACCTGATTCACATGTATGCCAGCTGCTACTGTAACCTGGTATTGTCTGGGCTGTTCCTTGCCTTGCTTTTTGCACTCATGGGCAGGGACTATGTCCCAATGAAGGAGTTTCCCAAGCTCCTCCATTGATCCTCCTCCCAGTGACAGTTCATGTGCACACCAGTGGGTTGTTGGCCCAGGCTGATTTTGTCCATCTCCTGCCCTGGCAAGAACAGTGGCCTTGCTCAACCAGCCACACCTATTCTGGTTCTTTTTGTTACTTGTTGTAGCCCAGTGCTACCTGGTCCGCGCCCAGACACAGCTTTCATGTAGTTCTTCAGGAGTCAAGTCCTAGCCTGGCCAGTTCTACACCCAGCCTGGCTCTCCCGAGTACCAGTGGGGGCTGGAGTCAATCTGTCGCTCCACCATCCTAGTGCACACCCGTGTCGGTGCAGTCTATAGCTATATACAGTTAGGCCTGCTGCCCTCAATTCTCTCGTTCTCAGCAGTGGAAACCTCAACCCAGCTGGGGTGCCCCCTTAGCTCCTCAGCAAGGCCTGACTCCATCCGTGGTTCTTGGGTGAACCAGTAGAGATTGCAGTTCCACAGGGGTGAGCCCACATTGCCCCCACAGATTCTGCTATCAGACCCACTTATCTCTCTTATTCTCCCCTCCAAAGCACTTTGGTATGGGTCCCTTACTTACATACACATGTCATGGACTTATCAGTGGAAGGCCCTCAGCTGTAATTTCTAACCTGGGCCTAAAAATCACAGGTCATCTCCCACTACCACTTGTGTGATCCCATCATCCCCCTATAAATTACGATCCTCCAATCATGAGGGCTTCACCCCCAGGCAGCCTGAAGGGCTTTGTCTAGCACCTTTGGCTTGGGCCGCCCAGCTACAGGCACCCAGCAGGACGGAAAACATAACCTCCAGGATGGGGTGGTCCTGGAGACCTGCTGATCTTCCCTCCACCCAGGGAGCTAGTGTGTTCGGCTGGACATACCTGTGCCAGGTTCAAAAATAAATAGTTTTTGAAAGCATTTATTTTTATTGGAAAGACAGATTTGGGAAGAGATACAGAGAGAAGATCTTCTATCTACTGGTTCACTCCTCAAGTGGCTACATACAGTGGCTGCATGGCAATCCGAAGCCAGGAGCTTCTTTTGGGTCTCCCACGTGGGTGCAGGGTCCCAAGACTTTGGGCCATTCTCCACTGCTTTCCCAGGCCACAAGCCAGCAGCTAGATGGGAAATGGAGCAGACGGGACATGAACCGACACCCATATAGGATCCTGGCATGTGCAAGGTGAGGGTTTAAGTGCTGAACCATCGTGCCAGGCCCACCTCCATCATTCCTTAGCATTGGTTTTCAAACTTTAATGTGGTACAGGTCCCCTGACTGTTTTGTTGAAATGCTATGACTCAGCCAAATGAAATGTGATCTACTCCTGTTTTTCTTTTGTTTGTTTTTGTTTTGTAATACAGCTATATATATATATATATATATATATATACATATATATATATTTAATTGAAAGAGTTACACAAAGAGAGAGAATTTCTGTTCGCTATTTCAGCCCTCAAATGACTGCAATGGCCAGAACTGGGCCAGTATGAAGCCAGGAGCTACTTCTGGATTTCTCACCTGGGTGCAAGGTGCAAACCATCCTCTGCTGTTTTCCCAAGTATTTAGCATGGTGCAGGATCAGAAATGGGCCTCCAGAAGTAGAATCAGTGCCCTTGTGCGATGTTGGCACCACAGACTTTGGCTCTATCCTGTCCCTCCTGTTTTTTTTAAGATAACTTCTCACTCTGTCCTTTTAGCACCTTACTCTCATCTCAGATAACAAACAGTAGGTACTGTGTGGAATCTACAAACTACACTGCGAAAGTATTTACTTGTATAGCTTGTGCTGTTGCCTTTAAGAAGCACTGATGTGGCGGTTTGAAGAAATCCTGTTTCTTTCCTTCTGCACTTCCAGGAACCAGGAACTTGCTCTGGGTCTCCCATGTGGGTGCAGGGTCCCAAAGCCCTGGGCCGTCCTCGATTGCCTTCCCAGGCCACAAGCAGGGAGCTGGATGGGAAGTGGAGCTGCTGGGACTAGAACTGGCGTCCATATGGGATCCCGGTGTGTTCAAGGGGAGGACTTTAGCTGCTAGGCTACCGTGCTAGACCCCTGTCTGCACTTCTAATGTGCAGCACTGAAGAGAGTTGTTAGGGAGGAGGAATATATTTGTGGGGGTGGGGTCAGAGTCATCCTTGATGAGGAAGGTCAACACTGAGATACCAAGATACCCAAGGTTGGAAAGAAGGAGTGCCCCTGTTTGAAGCTGTGTTGCTCCAAAATGCAGGCCTTGGGGCCTTTGGCTCCGCCCCTCCCGCAGCTCTGCTGAGTTGCCTTCAGCTGTCCCCAGAGTCGGACCTCAGCCCTGCTCCCAGGCTCCCAAGGCGATCCTGCTGTGCACTGGGCCTTGTAGATGATAAAGTGACCATTTGTGGACTGAGCTAAAAATCAGGCAGCTGGCCTAATGGCCTTCCTGTTGAGTCGCTGTGTCCTGTTTGGGGTGGGTGACTCTTCCTAATGAAGGAGACGTGCAGCGTTTTCTCAATACCTGCACCTCGGTGTAAGGCAATGATTTTCCTGGTAGAAAGTAAGCTTTTTGTTATTTGGGAACCCTAAAACAGAACAGCTCTGAACAAGACCAAGTCGATCATTTCTATTTCTTTTTCTTTTTTTTTTTTTTTTTTTTTGTTGTTGTTAACATTGTATTATGTGATACAGTTTTATAGGTACTGGGGAGATCATTTCTATTTCTTGAGCAATTTTTAGACCTGTGTGTCAGCCGGTGTTCTAGAACATGAGGTACTTTTTCTATATGCTGAGAAGAGTATGTAAGAAGGTCCTTCAAAAAGTTCCCGGGAGGACCAGCACTGGGCTGAGGGCTGGGAATGCTGTCATGGCTGCATCCTGGCTGTGACTGATCCAGTTCCTGCTAATGCCTGTGGGAAGGCCGAGGAGATAGCCCAAGTACTTGGGTCCCTGCCGCCCCTGTGGGAGACCGAGTTCCCGACTCCCTGCTTTGACCTGGCCCAGTCCCTGGTGTTGTAGTCATCCGGGTATGCTGAATGACTAAGTGCCTCTGATGCCTTTCAAAATGGAAGGATGAATGAATGAATGAATGAATGAATGAATGAATTCTTTAGAGAAACAAACACTTTTTATGAACTTTTTCAGAAGAAGCTTTGAAAAGAAGCCTATCTTTTAATTGCATTTTCATGAACTTTTGGAAGGGCCTTTCTATACTTATTGGGCATCTCTTACATATGAATTCTTTTAGTCACTTCTAAATTTTGATTTTGATTCTTTCAGGTTCTTCAGATAGATCCTGAGGTGACAGATGAAGAAATAAAGAAGAGGTTTCGGCAGGTATGGTCCTATGTCTCTGTGACAGCTGGAGTTTGAAGCACAGGATTGTCTTAAACTTGCTTGTGGATGCTTGTGGATCAGAATGTAGTCTTTTTGTTTTCTTCTAGGCTATGTAACTATTCTTTTAAACAAGTAACCTTTTTAAAATTTAGGTTATGTAACTATGTAACTACTTTTTTTAAAAAAAGTAACTGTTCTTGGTTATTGGGTCTTTGTGAACATGAATGCGTACCCAGCTGCTGCATGTTTTACCATAAAGCTGTTGCCTCAGAGTTGTCCAGGAAAGGCAAATTCAGTCTCTGATTCTGGCCCATTCTTCTGTTTAAAGCTTGAACTGTGAACTCTTCTAATAACCTTAAAAAAAATCCTTCCAGTTGGGGCCAGTGCTGTGGCACAGTAGTTAAGGCCTCTGCCTGCAGTACCAGGCACCACTTTAACGCTACACTTGGTTTTTTAAAGATTTATTTGTTTTTATTGCAAAGTCAGATATAGAGAAAAGAGAAGAGAGAGAAGATCTTCTGTCTGATGATTCACTCCCCAAGTGACCTCAATGTTCAGAGCTGCACCAATCCAAAGCCAGGAGCCTGGAGCCTCCTCCAGGTCTTCCAAGTGGATACAAGTTCTCAAGGCCTTGGGCCGTCCTTGACTGTCTTCCCAGGCTACAAGCTGGATGGGAAGTGGGGCTGCCAGGATTAGAACTGGCACCCATATGGGATCCTGGCATGTTCAAGGCGAGTGCCTTAGCTGCTAGGCCATCACACCAGGCCCACTGCTACACTTCTAATCCAGCTCCTTGATGCTGTGTCTGGGAAATCTAGAAGATGGTCCAGGTATTTGGGCCCATGCTCCCACATGGGAGACCCACAGAGGCTCTTGGCTTCTGTCTGGCCTAGCCCTGACTGTGGCTGTGGCCATTTGGGGAGTGATTCAGCGGATGGATGGAAGATCTCTCCATCTGTATTTTTTTTTTTTTTTGTAACCTTGTCTTTGAATAGATAAATAAATCTTAGAAAAAACGCTACTAGTTTTTTTATTATTATTATTATTTTATTGGAAAGGCGGATATACAGAGAGGAGAGACAGAGAGGAAGATCTTCCATCCGATGATTCACTCCCCAAGTGAGCGCAACGGCGGATACTATGCCAATCCGAAGCCAGGAGCATCTTCCGGGTCTCCCACTCGGGTGCAGGGTCCCAAAGCTTTGGGCTGTCCTCGACTGCTTTCCCGGGCTACAGGCAGGGAGCTGGATGGGAAGCGGGGCTGCCGGGATTAGAACTGGTGCCCATATGGGATCCCGGGGCGTGCAAGGCGAGGACCTTAACCACTGTGCCACCGCGCCAGGCCCGCTACTAGTTTTTATTGCTGAACAACCTCCGACCTGTGGTCTCTCCTTAAAGCTGGATTTTCTATGTATTTTATCTTTTGCTTCAGATTTTCACTTCTATTTTGAAAGGCAGAGTTACAGAGAGGCGAGAAAAAGTAAATACTTAAAAAAAACCCCCAAACACCAAAAAATTAGTAATAGTCAAGATTTTCTTTTAAACTTTTATTTATTCCTAGGCCTGGCGCGATGGCGTAGTGGTTAAGGTCCTTGCCTTGCATGTGCTGGGATCTGATATGGGTGCCGGTTCCCATCCAGCTCCCTGCTTGTGTCTGGGAAAAGCAGTCCAGGACAGCCCAAAGCATTGGGACCCTGTACCTGCTTGGGAGACCCAGAAGAGCTCCTGGTATAGCTTCAGCCGTTGCAGCCGCTTGGAGAGTGAACCATGAGACGGACGATCTTCTTCTCTGTCTCTCCTCCTCTGTATATCTACCTTTCCAATAAAAATAAATAAATCTTAAAAATATTTATTTATTCCTGTTGGAAAGGCAGATTTAGAGAGAGAAAGAGCTACAGAAAGATTCTCTGTCTTCTGGTTCACTCACCAAGTGGCCCCAATGGCCAGACCTGAGCCGATCTGAAGCTAGGAGCCAGGAACTTCCTTTGGGTCTCTCACATGGGTGCGTGAGATCCCAGTGCTTGCTGATGGAGGATTAGCCAGTTGAGCCATTGTACTGGCCCCATAAAATAAATCTTAAAAAAAAAAAGAAAAAGGGCATCTATTCTTTTTTTTTTAAAGATTTATTTTTATTGGAAAGGAGGAGAGACAGAGAGGAAGATCTTCCATCCGATGATTCACGCCCCAGGCGGCAGCAACGGCTGGAGCTGAGCCAATCTGAAGCCAGGAGCCTCTTCCGGGTCTCCCACGCGGTTGCGTGTATGGCGAGGACCTTAACCACTGCGCCATTACGCCGGGCCCAAGGACATCTATTCTTTAAAAGATTACTTAGTTGAAAGGCCACATTGATCTTCTGTTGGCTGATTAATTCCCAGTGAACACATTGGTGAGGGCTTGGGCAAGCCAAAGCTGGGAGCCAGGACTTGCATCTGGGTCTCCCCTGTAGTGCCAGGGCCCCAAGAGCGTGGGCCATCTTTCTTCGCTTTTCCAAGTAGGAAGCTGGATAAGAAATGAAGCAGCAAGGCCTTGAACTTGCATTCAAACGGGATGCTGGTGTGTCAGGTGGCTGTGTAGCCTACTGTGCCACAGCACCAGCCTCAGAGTCAAGAATTCCTATGTGGGATAGTTAGAAGAGTGTGAATGTTGGAGTTCCATGCCGTTGTTTTAATCTCGGCAGTGCCACTTAAAAGCAGTGGGAATTTGGGTTACTTTGAGCCATTCTCCACCTGTTTATATGTAAAATTTTCATGCTAATCCTGTCTATTACAGGGTAGTTAGAAGGATTTAGATTATTGTACATGAAACATTTAGGCTAAGTCCTGGCACATAGTGTGTCCTCACTCTATGCTAACTTGTCAGTGTGTGCTGGTCACTAGGTGAATTTCTTGCGTTAGCTATACAACCACCTAGCTGGGTTGAGTTCCCAACCTCGTCCCAATTTCAGCACAAGAAGCTTTGGTGGAGAAGGGTTCAGCGAGACCCTGAATGCAGGTGGTTCCGGCAGTGTGGCCTCAGTGAAGCCAGTAACCTGTGGCACGTCTCCCTTCCCTACCTGGTTGGTTTCTGCTGCTGACACTTTGTCAGTGAAAGAATTGCCTGTAGGGTCAGACTTACGACACACCAGATAAGGCTGCCACTTGGGATGCCTGCATCATGTGGCACGGTGCTGGTTTGAGTCCTAATTACCCAACTTTGGATCTGATTTTCTACAGTGTCTCCTGGGAGGCAGCTGATGATGGCCTGAATGAATGACTGGGAGAACCGGAGGGGGTTCTTGGCTTCTGCCATGCCTGGCCTGACCCTGCCTGTTGGCAAGCATTTGGGGAATGAACCGGCCTCCCTCTGTTACTCAATCTTTCAAATTGTGAAAAGTAATCAAATGTTTAAAACAAACAAACCAAAAAGTTATTGCCTATGAAATTTTTCTCTTTTTCTAACTTTTATTATAAAATTTTTGTGTTTTAGAACAGTAAGCCTATATCCAGTTGTTTGTCTTACTAAATAGTATTTTGATGGACTCATTCTCAATTGCACATATCCATAATTACTTCAGCATTTTTCCTTCCAATATAAAAAAGGACATATGCTTGCTTAACTATTTCTCACACTTTACAAAATAAGCATTGGTTCCTTACAAACATGAAAACCCCAGGTTAGCACAGGTTTACAAGTACAAATGCCGGAAGCTGATAGAGGCCTGAGGGTGGACATAGGCTCCTGTGGCTGATGGAGACTGCCCAGGGCCGGAGCCTGGTGGAGCTGAGACAGCTGTGTCTGGAGCAGTTCCTGTAGGAGAAGAGTGAGGGCTCACTGTTGCTGGGATCCCATAGTGCTGAGGTCAGGAACACGGTAGAGACTTGGTCCTTTTCCGGCTCCCCTTCCCTCGGAGCAGCACCTTCATGATGTGAGGCTTCCGTTCATGCCCCCAGCTGTATGCTTACATACCAGTGCTTCAGTTTTGTAACAGAGAAGTGTTTCTGTTTTAATTAATTAATTTTACTTTGAAAGACCGAGAGAGAGAGAAATCTCCTATATGCTGGCTGACTCTCCAAGTGCCTGTGTAATTGTGCTTGGCCAGGTTGAAGCCAAGTGGCTGGGAACTCAGTCCGTGTCTCCCCTGTGGCTGGCAGGGCCTGCCTGCTTGAGCCATTCACGTGCTGCCTCCTGGAGTGCACGTCGCAGGAAATAGGATCTGATGTGGGTTCAGGTGGCATCCTAATCACTGCTCCAAATACACTCACTGAGATTTGTTACTTAAAAAAATCCTTTTTGGTTGTTTTGTTTTGTTTTTGTTTTTTAATTGGAAAGGCAGAAGATATACAGCGAGAAGGAGAGACAGAGAGAAAGATCTTCCATCCGCTCTTTTGCTCCCCAAATGGCTGCAATGGCCAGAGCTGAGCCTATCCAAAGCCCAGAGTCAGGAGACTTCTGGATTTCCCATGCAGGTGCAGGGTCCCAAGGCCTTGGTCCATGCTCCACGACTTTCCTAGGCCATAAGCAGGGAGTTGGATGGGAAGTGGAACAGCCGAGACGTGAACTGGCACCCATATGGGATCCCGACACATGCAAGATGAGGATTTAGCCACTGAGCCATTGCACCAGGCTCTAAGAAATGCTTCTTACTCAAAGAGTTTGGATGCCATAGTACCTGAGGGCTTTTCATTGTAAAGAGACACAGTTCAGGGCAAGTGCTGTTCAGTGTTACTCATACTGTCAAACCTAACTTTTCTCTTCCTGTAGTTATCCATATTGGTGCACCCGGACAAAAATCAAGATGATGCAGACAGAGCCCAAAAGGCTTTTGAAGGTATTTGTAAATTTACCTGCCTCTGAGAAATGTAATGACAATGCAAGGGACTAAGTGTTCCTTGTTGTAGATCAAGAAAAGAATGTTAGTTTGCCTTCTGCTTCAGGAAGCTGTGATTATCACTAAGACACTTGGCATTCCCCACTGCTGTTTAGGAATTAGATCTTAACTTTGTTAAAAATTTTATGTGTTAATGCATAAGATGGCTTTTTTGTTTGTTTGAGCATAAGAAATGTTGGAAATAATTGATCACAGAATTAAGTTTAAATGTGGGTATATTTAGACTTGAGTGTGTATTTGTTTTCCAAGGCTCTCACTGGTATAATTGTACTTTTTGAAAAAAGAATTAGCTTACCAAGAGTAAATGACTTAAAACTAGGAAATGCTCTTAGCACAAGTCTGTTTGCACTGCCTGAGTGCAGTTCAGACTTCTGGAGGGTGTTTGCAGAAACAGTTAATTTCAATGTTTTGCATTAGCTGTGGACAAAGCTTACAAGTTGCTACTGGATCAGGAACAAAAGAAGAGGGCCCTGGATGTAATTCAGGCAGGAAAAGAATACGTGGAACACACTGTAAGTATTTATAGTGCTGCCGTGTGTATTCTTGCATGGCAAGGGGATGTACCAGCAAGCCTTGGGCACCTGGCAGGAGGGGGGCTGTTTACATAGCAACGCCTTCCGGCTGAGCTTGTGACTACTGTAGTGATTTCCACCGCTTAGCTGTGGAGATGAATAACAAGTGCCTAACTCTGTCATTCACCCCTAAGAGAAGAGTTCTGGGTAAGGAGGCATGGTTAGGATGCTGCCCCAGAGCTGTGGTATGTGTTCTTGCTCCCCCCCCCCACACGTGTTGCCTCTTCTCAAAACAAAACAGGGAGCAGCCATGGTGATGCTTGACCCTTGATTCTTATTCTTGCCTCGTGAAGGGTTTGGCACAGGGACTTGAGTAAGGCTGGCCGGGGGGGTATGAGTACTTTTTTTTTTAAGTAGGAGGAGTGACATGTCCATATTAAAACAGGGTTGGGAAGGACTCAACTGAAAGAAATTCAGTTACAGCGGGAGTTCTTTACTTTGCTTGTGGGGGCATTCCATAATCTGCCAAACCTGGGAAATGTTGACATGGCTTGCTGGAGGTAAGAAAGGTCTTTTAAAAATTTTTTCTTAACTTGCTGCTGCAGGAATCTTGAGGCTATTTGTAAAAGCTACTTCAGTGAATGTAGATGTGACATTTTCACTTGGAGAGCTTTAGAATCTGAAGCAGAACTTTACAACCAGTAGTACTGGATGCAGTGGAGAGAAGGAAGCTGAGCACCACGAGGAGATGCAGGGCTGAATGTGGCTTGTTCATGTGCTGGAAATGATACTGATCGGCCCTATCCTGGTAGAAAACAAGAGTACCTGGCCCTTGTCTTTCGATGCTGTCCTCCCTGTTGCCTGTAAGGAAGGCAGCAGTAGGCCTTTGACCACTAGGGGGCAACAGGGGCTTTCTGAGCTTAGAAGGCACTCGGCTTTCTGCTGGTGTGACGGACTGATTATATCTAATATAGAAGTACCATTCTTATGTGAATGGGTATCCTGTTGAAATTCTTTTCGGATCTCAGTAAGTGGCCAAAGTGATTTAAAAATATCAGTGAATGTGATATGAGAATTATTGAATTTAAGGAGGTTTCACAGTAAAAATGATCAAGAACGCGGTTGTGGAAAGCAAAGCAGTTGCTACTTAATGCTGCTTCTAAAACGTGAAGAGTACTTTTTCTTTGCCATGAGCACCTTAACCACAAGCCAGACAAGATAAATGGGCAATGTATTCAACATCCCAAAGGATCTTCGGACCTGGCATGGAGCTGAGAGTTGCCCTCCTCTGGCCCCCTTTCATTTTTACTGCTCCGTTGGATTTTAGAGGAGCTTGAGAAAGGCTGCATGGTTCCCGGTTGCCCTTTGTTGCATTGCTGTCTGGGGGAGAGGGCCAAGGCTCACATTATGTCAGTGTGAACTTCCGGTTACATCTGTGCCTTTAGAGAAAGGAAAAGCACCTGCATGTGTGTATCTCAGTGGGTGTTTTCCAAGTGTGGCTTCTCCTCCTTTGATGAAAAAATTCTTTTTAGGTGAAAGAACGAAAAAAACAACTGAAGAAGGAAGGAAAACCTACAAATGTGGAAGAGGATGATCCTGAGCTGGTGAGTTCAATTTGGACAAAGGTTGCTTGTCTGCTGACTGCATGGGAGACCTGGGAGAAAGCAGCTGTGTGGTGACATTAGAACATAAAGCATTGTGGGCCCAGCAGCGTGGCCTAGTGGCTAAAGTCCTCGCCTTGAACCCGCCGGGATCCCATAGGGGCGCCAGTTCTAATCCCGTCAGCCTCGCTTCCCATCCAGCTCTCTCCTTGTGGCCTGGGAAGGCAGTCGAGAATGGCCCAAAGCCTTGGAACCTGGTACTTGCGTGGGAGTCCTGGCGGAAGTTCCTGGCTCCTGGCTTTGGATTGGTGCAGCACCAGCCATTGCAGTCACTTGGGGAGTGAATCATTGGACAGAGGATATTTCTCTCTGTCTCTCCTCTTCTCTATATATCTGCCTTTCCAATAAAAATAAATAAATCTTAAAAAAACAAAAACAAAAAAAGAAATAAAGCATTGTGCATTCACTTTTTTTTAATGTGGGCTATTGCATTTTCTTTGCGTATACATCTGAAGTTTGCAGCTGATTGTAAAGAAATTGTTATTGTTTCTGCCTTTAAGATTTATTTTTATTTTTATTTGAGAGGCGGAGTTACAGGGAGAGGAGAGAGAGAGATCAAGAGAGAGAGATCTTCCATCTACTGATTCACTCCCTTGATGGCCACAATTGCCAAAGCTGAGCCAGTCCCAAGTCAGGATCCTGGCGCTTCTTCCGGGTCTGCCACGTGAGTGCAGAGGCCCAAGTACTTGAGCCATCTTCTGTTGCCTTCCCAGGCAGTAAGCAGGGAGCTGACTGAGAAGTGGAGCAGCTGGGACGCGAACCAGTGCCCATGTGGGATGCTGGCCCTGTGTGCAGCTGATTTGAGGTGTTATCAACGTAGTCTAGAGATGCAGGGGCTGTGTGAATTGTCTGATTTGGGGGAGTCGGTGAAAATGTAGGTGGAGAAATAGAGTTGTCCTGTTATGTGGCCTTCAACAGCGTGGAGGCAGGTGCACGTGGGTGCTGAACGGCCTTTACTGTCTGTACCTCCACTCCCTCAGCCCAAGGGTTGCTAGCTTCTTCCACCATTGCTGTGTCTGTGAGACTTACCCTTTCAGTTACCAAGACAACAGATTTTACCTGCGGTAAATTACTAAATTCTCCCCCTTTAAATAATTTGTTTGATTTCCATCTCTTGATTGGACTCTGACACAGACCTCAGCACTGGGCAGCCATTCCCTGCTCTGACTCTAACTTCTTCCGTTACAGTTGTTGAATGAGTAGGCACACGGTCTGCCTTCCAAGGGACTGGCGATGAGTTTACCGAACATTTTGCTGTAGCATGACAGAGTTCTCTGACCATTGGAGTCCTATTTCTGCCTCCATGAACCCCATTTTGTGGTTGTAACTCAGAGAGGAGGAGAGACAGAGAGGAGGATCTTTCGTCTGATGATTCACTCCCCAAGTGAGCACAACGGCCAATGCTATGCCGATCCGAAGCCAGGATCCAGGAACTTCTTCGGGTATCCCACACGGGTGCAGGGTCCCAAGTCTTTGGGCCGTCCTCCACTGCTTTCCCAGGCCACAAGCAGGGAGTTGAATGGGAAGTGGAGCTGCCGGGATTAGAACTGGTGCCCCTGTGGGATCCCGGCACGTTCAAGGGGAGGACTTTAGCTGCTAGGCCACGGTGCCGGGCCCAAACATAAATAAATCTTAAAAAAAAAATTCAAACCATGTCTCCCAGTTTGGGTTTCAGGGACCCAGCTGCTTCCCAGGGTCTGCATGAGCAGGCAGTTGGAACTGGGAGTGGAGCCAGGATTCACACCCAGGCACGCCGAGAATGAGGGCATCCCAAACGGTATCTGCCAGGCCAGATGCCAAGAGCTTCTTCCAGGTCTCGCACGTGGGTGCAGGAGCCCAAGGACTAGAGCCATCCTCCACTGCTTTCCCAGGCCATAAGTAGTGAGCTGGATCAGAAGTAGAGCAGCCAGGACACGAACCCGTGTCCATAAGCGAACCTGTCAGCACAAGTGGAGAGTTAGCTTGCTGTGCCACTGCACCAACCCCAGAGTTTGAAGATGTACAAGGTATTGCAATGTTCATCCCAGACTGTTTCATCCATTTGCTATTTGTTCTGACGGGCCTGAGGGTTGCCACTTCGGGTTCACTGAGCAGTGCCTGCTGGGAACAGCATTGGAGAAGTGACAGGAGGGCGGGGCTCCCTCTTCTCCATGTGTTGTCCTCTGCTCCAGTGTCTCCGATTTTAGGTTATAGACTGTTGAATCTGCATGGTAGAGTTAAAATACTTCATGTCTGGGTGACAAGAGCTTAAAAGTTACGATAAGAACATAAGCTGTGTTCTTTATTTTTTTCTTAAATGTTTGATTTATTGAAAGCCAGAGTTAGAGATGGCGTCAGTGGCTGAAGCCAGGAGCCTGGAACTCCACATGTGTCTCCCACACGGGTGGAGAGGGGCCCAGTCACTTGGCTTGTCTTGCACTGCCTTCCTGGGTTCATTGTGGTGAGCTGGATTGAAAGTGGAGCAGCCAGGACTCAGACTTACCCATATGAAGTGCTGGCATCTCAAATGGTGGCTTAATGTGCTGTGCCATATTGTTGTCCCTACTTACATTCTTAAGAGTTCTTGAAAGTTAAAAATTAGAAGGTGGTGGAAAAGGAACTGTGATTTTGTTGATTTGTCTAATGGGCTATATTATTTCCTGTCAGTTGTTTTTTTTTAAAGATTTTATTTATTTTTTTTAATTGGAAAGTCAGATATACAGAGAGGAGGAGAGAGAGAGAGAAAGATCTTCTGTCCAAGTGAGTGCAATGGCCGGTGGTGCACTGATCTGAAGCCAGGAGCCAGGAACTTCCTCCAGGTCTCCCACAAGGGTTCGGAGTCCCAAGGCTTTGGGCTGTCCTCCCCTGCTTTCCCAAGCCACAAGCAGGAAGCTGGATGGGAAGTGGTGCTGCCGGGATTAGAACTGGCGCCCATATGGGATCCTGGTGTGTTCAAGGCGAGGACTTCAGCCGCTAGGCCACAGCGCTGGGCCCTGTCACTTGATTTTTAATTCTTGGGAATTCTGATACTGGTCTCTGTATGACTGTTGTGTATTAGACTTTATAAAGGGTCTCTGTTTAGTCTATGTTGCCTATTACAATGTATTGATTGGGATATAAATTCAGTACCTGCCCTTGAGGCCCAGAGTGCTAGGGTTTGGGCAAGGTTGAGATTTCTCTCCTGCCCTGTGTGCAGGTCTGAGGGAGGAGAGCTGCTGGGGCGGCGGCTCCGTATGCTGATGGCCCTCGGCGTCTCCGTGTGCCTCTCTGTGCGGCTCGGCTGGAGCAAGTCCAGAGTGTCCCCTGCCCTTGCCTCCGAGTGCACAGCAGAGCAGGGGTGAGAGGCGAAGGAGGTGCTGCTCCCTCACACTCGCACCCACAAGGCCTGCAGGTCACAGCTGTTTGAATTTTTAAATTTTTTGTTTGTTTTGTTTTGTTTTTTAGTTGGAAAGACAGATTTACAGAGAGGAGAGACAGACTGCTGGTTCAATTCTCAAATGGCTGCAATGGCCAGAGTTGGTCTGATCCTAAGCTAGGAGCCAAGAGCTACTTTCAGGTCTCCCATGTGGGTGCAGGGGCCCAAGGCTTTGGGTCATCCTTTACTGCTTTTCCAGGCCATAATCAGGAAGGTGAGTGGGAAGTGGAGCAGCCAGTCATGAACCAGCACCCATATGGGATGACACTGCTTGCAGGTATAGGGTTAGTAATTGAGCCATTTTACTGGCCGCGTGCCTCCTTGCATGTCAGTGGATGCATTTTAATCACATGACTGTACCTGGCTCTGGGAAGCTGGGCCAGGCAGGGCTTTCCGTGGCTTTGTGCTCGATGCAGGATGCAGTGAAGAGAAGTAGTAAATGGCTCTGCCAGTCAGCAGGTAGCTTTGTGTCTTGTCTTGTGCTGGGCTCCAGGCCTGGAGCGAAAACAAAGAGCGGAACTTACTTTTGAAGTTTTTTTGGGAGAGCACCCTCCCAGATCCCCAGTGCTGGAGACTGGGAGCTGGATTTCTCCTTTACGGAAGCTTTTCACCACAGCTGGGCTCAGCCATGTCCTCTGCCAGGTAACAGTGCAAGGGCCTGGTAGGCGAATGAGCGGTTTGGGTTTGTCTCTCCAGAGAGGCAGCATGGCTAAGTGGTTTGTTCAGTAGCATTTTGTTTCTGTAGTTTGCCCTCACCTGCTTTCACCCTGGGTTCTGACTGAAATGACTCCATTGCAGTTAGTACAATCTGCATTTTGATTGTCTTTTGTTCTTAATTCTCTTACAGTTCAAACAAGCAGTGTATAAACAGACCATGAAGCTCTTTGCTGAGCTGGAAATCAAAAGGAAAGAAAGAGAAGCCAAAGAGATGCATGAAAGGTACATGCTCACATCTTCATTTTAAAATATTTACTAATAATTGTCATATATTAGAAAAGCAGAGAGACAGAAAGAGACTGACAAATGTCCTGTGTGCTCGTTCACTACCCAGACGCCCCAGAACAGCTGAGATGCAGCCTGGCCGATGCCAGGAGCCGGGAACTGAAGCTAGATCTCCCACGTGGGTGGCAGGAGCCCTGTCGCCTGCTCCTGCCGTCGCCCGCTGCCTCCCAGAGTGTACACTGGCAGGAGGCTGGAGCAGAGGACAGTGGTGGCTGAACCAGACACTGTGGGATGGGATGTGGGCGTCTCAAGTGGCATCTTCACTGCTCTGCCAAACGCCATCCCATGCCTCAAAACCGGATGAACATGATAACGGAATTGGGCAGTGCGTCATTGCAGAGACGCTCTCAAGTAGTTAGTGAAACAGCCAGCTGCTCCATCATGAAACTCACAAGTTTTCTGTGCCTTCTGGGAAATACTGAATAGTATTTCCTGTCCCTATGGAGCAGCACCCCCAGGAGGGCTGTGTGGCGTGAAGTTGGCAGAGTGATCGAAACCAGAGCCTGGGAACCAGTGCTCTGCCAAGTACCCGGGCTGTGCACAGTGGACACTTAGGAGAGGGTCACCGCTCGGAAGCAGGCGCTCCCTTGGTGGCCACAAATGCCAAGGATTTCTGCAATTTCACGTTGTCAGTTATTTAGCAATAACCAGATTTTTAAAAAAAGATTCATTTATTTTAGTGGAAAAGCAGATGTACAGAGAGGAGGAGAGACAGAGAGGAAGATCTTCCAGCTGATGATTTACTCCCCAAGTGACCGCAATGGCCGGTGCTGTGCTGCTCTGAAGCCAGGAGCCAGGAGCTTCTTTCCGGGTATCCCACGTGGGTTCAGGGCCCCAAGGCTTTGGGCCGTCCTTGACTGCCTTCCCAGGCCACAAGCAGGAAGCTGGATGGGAAACGGGGCTGCCGGGATTAGAACTAGCGCCCATATGGGATCCCGGAGTGTTCAAGGCAAGGACCTTAACCATTGTGCTGTCACGCTCGGGCCCAATGACCAGATTTTTTTAGTTGTGTGAAATGTCCTTGTTTTGAAATAGTTTTTGTTTGTTTGTTTGTTTATTTTGAAGTTTCTTTATTTTAAAAAATTTGTTTAAAAAGCCGAGAGATCTTTTCTTCCACTGGCTGTTTCTCCAAATTCCCACAGATGGCCAGAGTTGTGCCAGACTGCAGCCAGGAGCCAGGCACACCACCTGGGTCTTCCAAGTGGGTGCAGGGAGCTACGTCCTGTGAGCATCAGCTGTTGCCTCGCAGGGTGCACCGTGGCAGGGAGCTGCACTCAGAATTGAGGCCAGGGCTTGAACTCAGGTGCTTTGCCTAGAGCAGGTGTCCCAGGCAGCAACCCAGCTGCTGCCCTTGGGATGGGGTTTTGTACAGAGATCTTGTTGAGCAAGAATCTGGGCTGTTACAATCATTTTTGTGAAATAAAGTGTTTTTTACCTTGCTGCGCTCTGTCCAAGGCCCCAAACTTATGTTTGTTCACTGGGCTTGGGTGACCTTGGCTGTCTTTGCCCAAATCTAGAATGGGACCTTCATGAGGAGGCTTTGAGCCTGCTCTAGGCAGCCTTGTTTGTAGGTTGCCCCCAGGACCTGCTTCTGTGCGGAGTTCCTGTACCTCGCAGGGCTAACACAAACCCCCCGCGTCCTGTGAAACTATGCTTTGGATTTCCCTCCAGGAAACGACAGAGGGAAGAAGAGATTGAAGCTCAAGAGAAGGCCAAACGAGAGAGGGAGTGGCAGAAGAACTTTGAGGTAAGTCTCCAGGATGGACAGAACTGGTTCCAGAACCAGGGAATCTAGTCTTGGGTCTTTGTATGCTTGACTGGAGTAAACAACCAGAGCGCTTCTGGGGGGAAGGAGCTGTAGGGCACAATCCTGGTCTTGGCGTGGCCTCGGCCAGGGCGTGTGGATCTGACGGGACGTGTTGTGCGTAGTAGGCACAGCCGCCAAGCAGACTCAAGAAAAGTGGGTCACCGTTTCACGTAGGTGAGCACGCAGCAGCCCCTGCCCGGAGGGCAGTTAGTGGAAACCAAGGTTCTTTTTTTTTTTTTTTTAAGATTTATTTTATTTTTATTGGAAAGGCGGATAAACAGAGAGGAGAGACAGAGAGGAAGATCTTCTGTCCGATGATTTACTCCCCAAGCGAGCACAGTGGCGGATGCTATGCCAATCCGAAGCCAGGAGCCTCTTCCGGGTCTCCCACATGGGTGCAGGGTCCCAAAGCTTTGGGCCGTCCTTGACTGCTTTCCCAGGCCACAGGCAGGGAGCTGGATGGGAAGCGGGACTGCCGGGATTAGAACTGGCACCCATATGGGATCCCGGGGCATGCAAGGCGAGGACTTTAACCACTGCGCCACGGCGCCGGGCCCAAAACCAAGGTTCTTATGACCCCATGTACTGTCTAAAGGGAAACTTATTTGGATTTGATTCTTCTTAGATATTCTGGTTATAAGCTTCAGGGTTTTGGCCAGTTTCTAGATTGGGGTGACATTTGGTCTTTTGTAGGATTTGAATCTTGGAGTATCAGTGTTGATGACTGGTTTTGTCTCACTTCTTATTTGAAGAGAGTGAACCTGGGAGAGGTAACCCCTTGGAGATGAGTCTGAGGTCGAGATCCTAATTGCCCCCTCCACACCGTTCTCAGATGCTGCCTGGCTTTGGGGCATGCTTTGTGGGTTTGGGGGTCAGCAGAAGGGTGTAGCTGTCAGCAGGGCTGGCCCACTGGCTCTCTGCCTGGCTTTGGAAACAGGATTTAGCCCCTCTGAACATCAGCACTAGCAGCCCATGCTATAGTCAACCTTTGGTGATGCTGAGCAAGCAGGACCTCCTTGTGTGGTGGTGTTTCTCAGTGTGCCCTCTTTGAGCCTGTGACACATCCTGCAGTCTCAGGCTTGTGTGGCACTCTGCAGCACCGTGGAAGTAGGTGGGCGGCCCTGCTCTATTCCACTTGCTGTGGAACTTCATTGTGGGGCTGGCCTGGGCCGTGCAGCAGGAGAGTGGCTGAGCGGGCAGGCTCAGGCCCCTCCTCCTGGTCACTGCTCTCCTCACCCCACACTTCATTTGCTCTTAGGAGAGTCGAGATGGGCGTGTGGACAGTTGGCGAAACTTCCAAGCAAACACCAAGGGGAAGAAAGAGAAGAAAAACCGGACCTTCCTGAGACCACCGAAAGTAAAAATGGAGCAGCGTGAGTGACCACCTGGGGTCACGGCCATGGACCCTCCCTCGCCGTTTCCCCCCTGCTTCGAAGGACTCATTCTTTTCTCCCCTTTCCACCCCAACATAGAGTAGTGTTTGCTTTTTAGTTCATTTTGTTTTCAATATAATTTACTATCAATCAGAGTAATTCTTTTGTACATTAAAATGAGGGGCTCAGTTTAAAAAAAAGACCTTCTCCCTTTCCTCCCGGACCCCTAGAACACCCAGGACTGGAAAGTACCCCCAGGTGCTGCCTTCTTCCCCAACGCCTGTAACTTAATGTTTTGTACTCCACCGCGCGTGATGGATGTGATGGTTAGAAAGCTGTGTGTACACTGTGGAGGTCATCCCATTGAACAGCCTGCTGACAGTGGTGTCACGTGACGAGCCTGGGCTGCCTCAGGAAGGCTCCTCGCTTTGGTCACTTGCTTCTAAAGCCCACCCAGGTCACAGGAAGGCAGAGTGGGCAGAGAGTATGGTTATTTGATGCCCTTGTGCCCCCTGGTGTCTGGCCCCTCCTCCCATCTCACTGACCAATCAGTGGCATGACGCTCAGCCACCTAAGCCTGTTCACTTTCCAAAGAGCTAGCCATCCTCCATCCAGTCCCATTGTGTCCTAGCCTGTCTGCTTTCACTAGTAGTAAGATTCTTTATGTAAAATAAAATTTTATACTGAAGTCCTGGATGTACTCTCCCTCAGGTGTCATTCAAAGGTGTGCTAGACAGACCTGATTTCTTAAGGTTTGCTTGTTGAGCCCTAGTGTCTTCATGTGCTGCGTGGAGGGTGCGATCCTGCAGCAGCTCTGGAGGGAGGTCAACGTGATGCGTGGGAGTGGTGGAGGGCAGTGACTTCTGTGGGCAAGGCAAGCACTGTTTGAAATGCAGGAAAACCTCCAGTTTATATCCTGCTCAGATGTCCCACTTGCTCTGAGAGATGGGACCAGGCCTCGGGGAGAGGCATGAGGGAGAGTGTGGGCTCTGCTGGGCCGCTCCCGGTCTGGAAGGCACATAGTCTCCCAGTGGCAGGTCCACACCCTTCATGGTTATCTGGGAAGCAGGCTTTTTCCCAGAAGTCACTGGCCACAAGTGTGTCACAGGGGGCACTTCTAATAGTCAGTGTGGCTGAGAATGCAGCAAAGGCCGCAGACCAAGTCTGTTTCCTTGGGTCTGGGCATCAGCTGTATCTAATCCAGTTCTGTAGGCAAAGAAGAAAAGGAGAAAGCTGGGGACAGCTAGATGGGCTGGTTCAGATTGGGTTGGATTTGAGGAAAATATTGCAGCCAGAGGGAACAGCCTGTGTAGAGTCAGTTCAGGGTCAGCGCCTAGAGGGGTCAGCGCATCAGCTTTTCATGGCAGTGGGCCTCCTTTGCTGACCCAAAGCCTGCACCTGAGCTGACTGAGACCAGGGAGATGATAAAAGTCACATCAAGGGATTTGGGTTTGTCAGAACATCATATTTGCACAGAGAGACCAAAGTCTCCGGTTTTCTTCCTGGCATGTTCGACTCACAGAGCCAGAAGATGAGCAGTGACCGCAGCCCTTTCTCAGCTTCGCTCAGCGCCGTCTTTCCTGTGATCTTCTGGCTGGGCCCGGAGAGCGGGGCTGTGGGGGCAGTACCGTCCCCTTCACCTGTGGCTAAGCTGAATGGAGCTCCCTGGTTCAGAGGGGCCTGCTGGGAAGTGAGGGAGAGGCTGGGCAAGTGCGCCTCTCCTCTTGCCGTGCTTTGCTGTGGGTCATGGAGGCCCCTGCCATGCAGCCAGCCATCACTGGCTCCTGGGAGACTCCACGCCCGGGAGTGAAGAAGTTAGCCAGCTGATTGCTGGTCCCACAGCCAGCGACTCCAGCCCCAAACCTCACCTTAACATGGAGAAAATGGAAGCTGTGCGTTAGAAATGAAATCCTACATCTTGGGCCTGGCCAGCCAGCTGCACTCCCCCATGGTTTGGGTGTGGCTTCTCAGCTGTTTCCTGCCTCCAGCCTGGGTGTCCCCGCAGGAAGGGCACTGGGGATGCCGATAGGTCTGGACCTGCTCTGAGAGTGGAGCCTCAGGGCTTTTCCTCTCCTAGGGCCCTGGCCTGGCACATCAGATTCATTTGCTCCCTGCTGGAGGCAGGCAGCACTGCAGCAAGCCCTGGGGTTTGGCCCTCTACTTTGCCACTCGCTCTGTGAGCCTGCACAGCATTTCCTGTATGGGCTTGCACTGCCTCCTGCGGCATAGAACGGGGTCACAGACTAGATTCCTGTCCAGTCTGCCCCATGAATAGCAAGGCCTGTGTGAATCTTGAAATTTCTCTCAGCCCTGGCTGCCTCATCTTGTCCACGGGTGGCTTGTGTTCTTCCCATCAGGGCAAGCAGTGCCACCCCTTAACAGCTGAGCTGGCACAGCTCTGGGTATGATGCTGGGATTTTTCTAGAACCGTGATCCTTTGCTTTGGAAATGAGCAAAGGCTTACCTCCTCCCTCAGACTGGGCGTGCAGGGGTGGGGCTGGCTGGCTCCCTCGAGGCCTGAGAGGGCTTCGGAAGGCTGGATTTTTCTCTTGCTTAACAGTTGGGCGTTGGTGAAGCTGGTAAGCCCAGGGTCGGGGACAGCTGTGGGCAGTGGGTGGTGGTCTCTTGTGGGCGAACCTGGCTGTGCACTTCCCTCAGCCAGGGCAGTTTTCTGAGGGTGTCTCTGGGTGTTCTCACTGGTCAGCTCACTGGATTTGCCACCCAGCTCCTGAGGACAGGGCTGACTTGCCCCCCTCACCCCATCCAACTAGGACTCCTGAGGTCAGGGCTGGGACCTTCTCGCTGTCAGACAAATGCCTGGTTTCTCCCTCCTGGGCCAGTCTCCCACAGGAGCTCACCTGGGTCACAGCCAGCTCAATGTGGCTGGATCTTAGAATTGGGGCCCCACCTAATGAGCTGGCTTCCTGGCCGCCTCAGGCTTTCTTCCTGCTACTGTCAGATTGCAGTGAGTCACGCACCTGGGCCTGTCTCCTCTGGTTCCCCCGCCCGCTCTGCAGCTCCTGGGGCAGCCCTGCCCACTACCAGTGGCCCCCGCTGTTTCTCAGGTAAGAGGCTTGGTGACCCAGGCAGGGGGTCCACCTGTGCCATTGGCTCCAAAAGGCTGCTCAGAGCCACATTCTGCCTGACATACCCCCCACCCCTGCACCCTGCCATGGACAGACAGCCCCCTTACCTCGCACACAGCACATACTCACCAACACACAGTACCCTACCCCCTTGCAAACACATCTCATCACCCCCAGAAAACACCAGGCTTGGGCACCGGCGTGATAGCGTAGTGGTTAAAGTCCTTACCTTGCATGCCTGGGATCCCATATGGGTGCTGGTTCTAGTCTCGGCAGCCCTGCTTCCCATCCAGCTCCCTGCTTGTGGCCTGGGAGAGCAGTCGAGGATGGCCCAGGTATTTGGGACCCTGTACCCGCATGGGAGACCCGAAGAAGCTCTTGGTTCCTGGCTCCTGGCTTCAGATTGGCTCAGCTCCAGCTGTTGCAGCCGCTTGGGGAGTGAATCATCGGACAGAGGATCTTTCTCTGTCTCTCCTCCTTTCTGTATGTCTGACTTTCCAATAAAAATAAATAAATCTTAAAAAAAGACAGGCTTAACACATAACAGACCCTTGTCACTCACGCACCCACACACATACATACATGCACATCACAAACTGATGGCCTGTGCCTGTGCACAGTGTGGCCGCAGCCCGAGCACACATCCCTGCAGGCAACATATGGAAGTCCTGCCACGTGCTCCCACACGTATCTCCCAGCACCCCATCCATGTCACACCATGCCCACCGCAGAGACCCTTCCCACGACAACTGTCCAAGAGCCTGCTTGGTCGGTCAGGCCGGGATGTGGCTGGGCAGTGGACAGCGTTGTCCTCATGGTGGGTACTACATAAAGAGAGGCAGAGGGGCAAAGTGGGCCAAAAAAGGAAGGAGCAGAGCCGGAATGTGACAGGTGGGGGCTCACATACACATGGAAAACATGAGTATCATGCACAAAGGGGCAGGCATTTGGCACTGCTTCCCGTGCCTATATCTCCTGTCAGAGCACTCTGCTCGCCATTGCCAGCTCGCTACTGATGCCTGCTCCCAGCAACGGCCTTAGTACGTAGGTTCCTGCACCCGCGTGGAATTCCCACTCTTGGCTTCTGTGGGTGTGAGGGATAGTGAACCAGATGGAAGAGCTCTTTCTGCTTTTCTTTCTTTCCCTCTCTTTTTCCTTCTTTTTTCCTTTTCTTTTCTTTCCTTTCCTTTTCTTTTCTTTTCTTTTCTTTTCTTTTCTTTTCTTTTCTTTTCTTTTCTTTCCTTCCTTCTTTCCTTCCTTCCTTCCTTTCTTTCTTTCTTTCTTTCTTTCTTTCTTTCTTTCTTTCTTTCTTTCTTTCTTTCTTTCTTTCTTTCTTTCTTTCTTTCTTTCTTTCCTTCCTTCCTTCCTTCCTTCCTTCCTTCTTTCCTTCCTTTCCTTCCTTTCCTTCCTTCCTTCCTTCCTTCCTTCCTTCCTTCCTTCCTTCCTTCCTTCCTTCCTTCCTTCCTTCCTTCCTTTCCTCCCTCCCTTCCTTCCTTCCTTCCTTCCTTCCTTCCTTCCTTCCTTTCATTTTTTTTTATGATTTATTCATTTTTATGGAAAGGCAGATATACAAAAAGAAGGAGACAGAGAGGAAGATCTTCCATTCACTGATCTGCTCCCCAAGCGTCTGCCATGGCCAGAGCTGAGCCAATCTGAACCCAAGAACCAGGAGCCTCTTCCACATCTCCCAGACAAGTGCAAGGTCCCAAGGCTTTGGGCTGTCCCCCACTGCTTTTCCAGGCCACAAGCAGGGAGCTGGAAGGGAAATGGAATATCCGGGACACAAACCAGCAACTGTATGGGATCCCTGCACATGCAAAGAGAAGATTTAGCCACTGGGCTACTGCTCTTTCTGCTTTTCAAATAAAAGTACATACATAAAGTTGTGTTACAGATATCCATGTAGCTACTGCTGAGTTAATTGGACCGTGTTAGGTGTGATAACCTCCTGTGCTTTGGCTCATCTGCCTCTCACCCTCTCTCCAGAAGTTATCATATCCTGAATTTGTCTTTATGTACTAATGTCTGGATGAGTGTGTGGTGAGAGAGAATCTTCTGTCTGCTGGTTTACTCCATCAATGGCCACAACAGCCATGTCTGGGTCAAGCCAAAACCAGGAACTCAAAACTCTATCTGGGTCTCCTACGTGGATGCGGGGGTCCCACACACTTGGACCATCCTCCACTGCTTTCCCAGGCACATTAGCAGAGAGCTGAATTGTAGTGAAGCAACCAGGACACAAGCAGCACTCTGATATGATATACCAGTGTTGCAAGTGGTATATTAGTGTTGCAGCTTAACCTGCTGCACCAAAACACTGGCTGTATGTTTAAAAGCCTGAAGAAATTGTTACGCTGTGTTTATCTTTCTGCCTTTTTTTTTTAAGATTTATTTATTTTTATTGCAAAGTCAGATATGCAGAGAGGAGGGGAGACAGAGAGGAAGATCATTGATCTGCTCATTCACTCCCCAAGTGACCGCAAAAGCTAGGGCTGAACCGATCCAAAGCCAGGATCCAGGAACTTCTTCCAGGTCTCCCACATGGTGCAGGGTCCCAAGGCTTTGGGCCGTCCTCAACTGCTTTCCCAGGCCACAGGCAGGG